ACACAGCAGGCATTTCCTGGAGATCTGGGCTGCCAGTTGGTAAAGGTGGGCTATATAGAAGCATTTTTCCAGCTGCTTGGTTGTAGCATCTGGTCCTATGTGGGTTGAATCATGGTATCTCTGAGTAACCTGCCGAGAAAGGGACTCTGGAATCCATATCCTGTCATCAGGGGTAAGGTACCATCCTTCGTTGGACAACGTCAACCCCTGAGCGTCTGCAGTGTCCCTTTCCTGCTTCGTATAAGCTGGCTTGTCAGTAGTGCTTAAAATCTCTTCTGGGACCAGTGCTCCAATAACCGAGGCGGGGGCCAGTTCTTGGGCTGCTTCCTTGGCTACTCTGTCTGCCAATCGGTTTCCTCTGGCCACTTCCCCTGGTCCAGTCTTGTGTCCATAACAATGGATAACTGCCACTGCCTCGGGCTCCCATACAGCATCCAGAAGGTTCAATAAGGCTTGTGGGTGGGCCACCTGGCTTCCTCTGGAGGTAAGCAAACCTCTTTCTTTCCATAAGGCTCCATGGGCATGTAAAGTCAGGAATGCATACTTAGAATCTGTATAAATGTTTATCTTCTGTCCCTTTGCCAGGCTCAGGGCTCTGGTAAGCGCAGTTAGCTCTGCCAGCTGGGCCGATGTTCCAGGTGGGAGTGACTTTGCTTCGATCACCTGGTCTTCCAGGGCAACCACTGCATAGCCTGCCTTCCGCTGTCCAGTCTCAACAAAGCTGCTTCCATCTACAAACCATGAAGGCCAGTGGGGTTTGCCTCATCTTTTAGGTCAGGTCTGCTGGAATATACTTCATCCATCACTTCAATGCAATCGTGCATCTGCTCCTCACCTTCTCCTACCGGCAACAGGGTAGCTGGGTTGAGGGCGGTGGTAACCTGGAACTTCAAACGCGGGTGCAACAATAGCATCTGGCACTTTCTCATTTTTGCTTGGGAGAGGAAATAGGTACCCTTCATGTCAAGCAGAGCTGGGACTGCATGCGGGGTCACACAAACAGTGTCTTGGCCAAAAGTAAATTTGTCTGCTTTGTGCAGTAGGGTGGCTACTGCCACTACTGCTCTCATGCATGGCGGTAAACCTTGTTCTGTAGGCGTCAGGCGCTCAGATAGGTATGCCACGGGCTGCTGCCAGCTTCCCAATTTTTGGCATAGCACTCCCTTTGCTGTTCCCTGGTCTTCATCCACAAATAGGGAGAAAGGCTTCTCAGGATTTGGGATGCCCAGCGCTGGTGCTTGCTGCAATGCCTTTTTCAGATCCTTGAAGGCATGCTGTTGCTCTTCTCCCCACACAAAGGGGTCCTTTTCAGTTCCTCTGGTTGACTCATGCAGAGGCTTGGCAATTGTGCTGTAGTCTGGTATCCATATTCTACAGAATCCTGCTGAGCCCAGAAAGCCGCGAAGTTCCCTGCGATTCTTTGGCTCTGGAATCTGGATGATGGCTTGCTTCCTTTCTTCCCTTAGGGTCCGTCGCTGATGGGATATATCAAATCCAAGGTATTTCACGGTGGGTTGACATATCTGGGCCTTTTTCTTAGATACTCGGTATCCTGCTTCAGCCAGGTGATTTAACAAGTCCTTGGTGGCCTCCATACACGTGCTCTCGTCTGAACAGGCCAAAAGAAGATCATCCACGTACTGCATCAAGACTCTGCGCGGACTGGTGGGGAAGCTAGACAGGTCCGAGGCCAATGCAACCCCAAAAAGGGTTGGAGAATTCTTGAAGCCTTGTGGAAGCCTCGTCCACGTGTATTGCACCCTGGTGCCTGTTCCCGGATCTGTCCATTGAAATGCAAACAGGGGCTGACTTTCTTCTGCCAGGCGGCAACAGAAGAATGCATCCTTCAAGTCCAATACGGTGAAATAACATGCGGTGGGAGGTATTAGACTCAACAGCGTGTAAGGATTGGGCACATTGGGGTGGAGGGTCTCCACGGCCTGGTTGACTAATCTAAGGTCTTGGACCGGGCGGTACGAGCCATCTTCCTTCTTCACCGGCAAGAGTGGGGTGTTCCACTGAGATTGACACTGCCTCAGGATGCCATGGCGAAGTAACCGTTCCAAATGTACCCATACTCCTTCCGCAGCTCTTCGGGGGATAGGATATTGGTTCACAGCCACAGGGTTGGCGAATGGCTTGGGCTTGACTATTATAGGTGGGATGTTCTTTGCCATTCCGGGCGGGTTGCTTTCTGCCCATACACCAGGGTTAACTTCTTGCAGGAGGTCTTCTGGAATAATCCCCTCCTCTTCTTCTACCATCATTAAGCGCCAGTGTTCCCTCAAGGGTACCTCTAAGGAGAACTCTCCTGCTTGCCCTGTAGTCATTGTCACTTCTCCTGTCGGTTGGAAGGAAATCTGGGCTTGCAATTTTGATAGCAGGTCTCGGCCCAACAATGGGATGGGACACTCTGGTATATACAAAAACTTGTGTTGGACCACTTGGCCGCCCAGGCGACAGGCAACAGATTGCAAGAAGGGGGCTCTTTGTGATTTGCCTGTAGCTCCTATTATGTTAATTGTTTGCTTGGTGGGCTTGGACACTGGTACTGGCAAAACAGAGTGGGCGGCTCCTGTGTCAACCATGAAGGGGATGGTTCGGTTCCCTGTTTGTATTTTGACCATGGGCTCACGGGAACCTAAATCAGCTGGGCCCGGTCTGTCCTAGTATTCTTCCTCCTCCTCTCTCAGGCTCATCGCGGCGGGCTGTCTTTGGGCTGGAGGGTGCCAGGGGGTCCCTGTCCACGTCCTCTACCCCTGCCTGTATTTGCAGATGTCCAAGGTCTCAGTTCTTGTCCAGGTCCCACGGGGATTGGGCCTGGGATTCGCTCTCCTCGTCCTCCTCCACCTGAGTGAGCTTGTGGGCATTCTCTTTTCCAGTGCCCTTCCTGCCGGCAGATGGCGCACTGGTTCCTCCCCAGACGGCCTTGCCCTCCTCCCCGGGCACTTCCTCTTTCCTGAGGGGTGGGTGCGGTAGCCTGTAGCGCCATCAACTTCTTTGCTTGATACTTCTCCTTTTTCTTTTGTGCCTCTTCCTCCCTCTGATTATAAGTGGTTTGAGCCAGTTCTAACATCCACTCAAGGGTGTGGCCCATGAACCCCTCGTGTTTTTGAATCTTTCGGCGGACATCGGGCGCCGCTTGGGCCACAAAGGCAGCTTTTATGATAGGGGCGTTGGCAGCCTCATCTGGGTCCACAGGAGTATACTGGCGGTAGGCTTCCTTCAGGCGTTCTAAATATGCTCCTGGGGCCTCTTCATTCCCCTGCACTACCTCTCTAACCTTCACAAAGTTGGTGGGTTTCCTAGCTGCCCTTCTCATACCATTTAACACATTCTGGCGGTAGGTAGTGAGGATGTTCTGGCCATCAACAGTCTGATAATTCCAATTCGGGGTGTTTTCTGGATATCCTGCTGCCATAGCTGGATCCTGCACTCCCTGCGCTCTCAGGTGTGCTCGGGCTTCAGCATGGATTCGCCTAGTTTCTTCTGTGGTTAGCAGCGCATCCATCAAATACTGCACATCATCAAGGTGGGATTATAAGTTTTAAAAATCCCTTCAAACAGCTTTATGATCTTCGCTGGGTTTTCCTCAAAAGATGGGTTTTGATTTCTCCAGTTACAGACATCTGCACTTGAAAAGGGTATATGCTGGACCGTATAGGTCCGTTCTGCTGCTGCTCCATTAGTCCCTGGAGGTCCTGGTGGGTCATAAACCCTTCGGAGGGGCATTACTCCGACCCCACCCTTTTCTGTGCCTCATGGGACTTATGGAAGGCTGCCCTGGTTGCTGCTTCTATCCATTCCCTCTGCCATTTCTTCCCTTGTGTTGAGGAGCATCCTGCTGCAGCCAACACGTGGGGGCTAACATCCACTTCTTCTGCATAGGGTTGTACATACTGTTGCAATCTCAAAGACTGATACTGAGTCCACTCTCTTCCCTTCTTTGCTAACTCAACCAATCCCTTTACAAATTCCTCATCATCGTCTTCTTCTTCTTCTGATTCATTAGCCTTGGGGGGTTCAGGCTGGGGGCTAGCTCCTCCCGGTGCCTGGGGGCCTGGGTCCAGGGGAGGGGCAGTTGGTGGAGCATAGGGTGGAGGTGGTTTAATGACTTCCCCTCCTCTTCTTCTGGGTCTGGTATCACTGGGGGCTTTTCTGACTTCCCTGTCGGTCGAACTGCACAAACTGTACTTTGTGGGCGTCGCCTCGGCAGGCTTTCAACCACGATGGGTTCTTTTCTACATTGGTTTTCCAAGTAGAAATGTAGGGGATCTGGTCTGGGTGGACGTTCAAGATATTTCGATACAGTGGGTTGATTAGTTGCAAATCGAAGCTCCCCTCCGAGGGCCAGTTAGTTTGTTGCGAGGGCCAGTCAACCTCACATAATGTTCTCATCCTCCGTTGCCTCAATTTGATTCCCCAATCATCATGCTTTGTGGCTGCTTTCCAGTTGTTTAAAAACATTCCAGAGGACTACATTGGCTTGCCCCAGACCCCATTTTCAGATACTCTGCTGCTAACAGGTTGTAAATTCTTTCACTCTACACACACTACAGCCCTACAATCGCTCGGCCAAGGGGGACACTAAGCCCTGGCCCACACTTGACAATTCAGTCACTAGAGTATCTGACATGCAACATACAACATACAAAACACATCAATATAATTTCAACATGTAACACACTAGACACACCAAAATAATTTCAGCATGCAATACACAAAACACACCAAAATAATTTCAACATGTAATACACAAAACACACCAAAATAATTTTCCCCTCTGTTCCCCCCCATTTTTTTTTTTTTTTTTTTTTTTTTTTTTACCAAACCTTACCGGTGGCACACCACTGCCACGCCCCTTTTTTTTTCCTTCCTGGCTGCACTCTACTGCATAACCAGGTGAGGCTGATCAGGCCTCCCTCTTTTCCCTTGGGCTCACGCCCACGCCCTTTCCCTTGGGCTTACCGTTTTCTGCTGCAGATTCCCTTCCCTGGCCAGTCCTCTTTCCTCCCTCGACCTGGGTCCTTGCTCCGGAGCGGTGTGGCTGGCTCCCCCCACAAATTGGCAGGGTGCGCGTGGAGCCTGCAATTGCCGATCCGAGCTGTCCACCAAGGTCGAGCCTGGCTCTCCCCAGCCCTCTGAGGTGGGGCAGATTCCCGGTCAGGGAACCAAGATGTAGGCTGAGCCTAGTCCATGCCAGGGAATCGTTGGCCCGCGTCCTCAGATCCAGAGAGAGAGCAAAAGAAAGCACCAGGAAAGATCCTTCTTTGGAGGAAAACAGTTTATTCTCTGTGCACAGTGACAGCCAGCAGAATAACTTCTGGAAGACTGGCTGCCCAGAAATACGCCTCTGCAGACTTTCTTATACCTTGAGAAAGCTCCCTCCCTCCTCCCGTCTCCCTCGTATGTGTCTTTCTTATCTTACATTCCTAAAGTAAGAAAGCGAGGGGCCTCTGGTTATTTCTAGCTTACAGTCTCCTTCATATGTGTCTTTCTTATCTTGCATTCCTAAAATAAGAAAGCGAGGGGCCTCTTTGCAGAAGTCAAATTAGCTCAGAAATTTACTTAGATCCAAAGTACAGAGAATATAGAAGATCCTTCTTAGGTACAAGGTACAAGGTATAGAAAGCATATAGAAAGCAACCCTTCCCTCTCCCTTCAGTTGAACAGGTGGCATATGCCTTGACGGCGTTCCCCAAAATGCTACAAGAAAGAAAACATATTCTGCTTATATCTGCCTACAATGTAATGAACAAAAGGTTTACAGATGCAACTATGGGAGCAGTGGCATAACGTGGGTTGCCAGTGCTCAGGGCCATGTGGAGGGGTGGGGTAGGGGAGGTTTAATGGATGGAGTATACATGCACACATCACCCAGAAGATTGTAGCCACAGAAATAAGTTGTTCTGTTATCTAGAAAGGTCACTTCCTGGTTCACATGGAGAAGCCATTTTCAACAAAGCCCAGCAACGAGAACGCACAGCTGCACTGAGGCAGCACCAGGTGTTTAAATTTTGCTCCCATAACAATTTTGCACCCCTGAGGCTCTCCCATGCTATTGCAGTAACTGAAATTAGCTTTTATCAACCTAATTCTTCCACTTGCATAGCTTGCACAGAAGGTACCAAGAGTGAAAGATAACCTGGCAGTCATGGTTCTTTTGCCTGCTATGTTCATTGGCTGTACCCGTCCAAGGGAAGCAGTAAGCTAGATGGTTTGTGGAGCATAGAGTACTAATGAACAAGCAGCTATTGCCATAAAAATTCAAGCTTCCTTCAAGAGCATGAGGGACTTCCAGATGGGTGATTATTTTAAGGCTGGTGCTCCTAACGCATGGAAGAATTGGCCCTCCAGTAGTTATTCGACTGTAGGCAAGGCAACTGTGCAGAACCAAGTTGTGGCGCTGCTCAGTACGTCAACGGGTGATATCCAACAATGACTGTCTGCTGGCAGAAGGGAAGCTCTTGGTGAATTCTCCTCTCCCTTAGCAGGACACCATGCTCCAGAGGGACCCACTAATCCTCTGGAGTAGATTTAAAGGGTGAAGGAGGGATGGCCAAAAATTGCTTCCCTCCCCGTTATGTTGGCATATTCCCTTCAGTCAGCAGACTGAATATTGTCAGGTGTAGCTCCTCATGCAGGAATTCAAAAAGCAGCACCTGCCTAAACTCTCAGTTCTGACCGGTGATTAGGCTAGACTAAATGGCCTTTGCGTTCTTTTAGAGTGGAGATGCTAAACAGAAAATCAAAAACCCTGCTTTGGTCTTTCCGCTGAACTGCTGTACAGTGAGACTGAAGTCACATCCACACCACATATTTAAAGCAAATCCAATACGCATTTAAAGAACGTGACTTCCCACAAAGTGGAATACACAATGCGACACTAGATGGCGATGGTATTTTTTCAATGTATTTTTTAAAATGCTTTTTTAAAAGAAGCATTTTCAGAAGGTTTTTTGTATGTGTGTAGATTCCACCCCAGTATCAGAGAAATCATTCAAAGAAACCCAAACAGTGATGGCCTAATGATCCCAGCAACTCTTCCTGGTAGGTCTTGCTCAGGGGTCAGCAAGGTTTACCTCGCCTGGGCTGGTTCACTCCAGCGGAGATCCCTCCGTGGGCTAGATCACGTGCACGCCCGTGATTTTCGGCATCTGCGCAGACACGGTTTTCGGTGCCGCGGAAGCGAGTTCCCGTGCCACAGCGGTTTGGTGCAGCACGCGGGGACTCACTGAGCGGGCGGTTCGTGGGCCAGTTAAACGAACCCTGTGGGCCACTTGTGGGCCTTAGGTTGCTGACCGCTGGTCTTGCTTGTGAGGCCGTTGTGAGGACTGAAGATCCCTGCCTTTCCACCACTATCTAAGACTGCTTCATCTTGTCTATCTTTGCTCCACCCTCTTCATTTCTCTGCATGTTCTGGGAGACCAGGGTGGAGAAGAGCTGGTCACAGCAGGAGGGGGAGACTCCTTGGATTCTTCAGCAGCCTACCCCCACTCCTTTCCTACCCCCACTTCAGCCTCTAATTCCGGACTGCTCTCTGCCACAGCCTCTTCCTGTTAAACCTTGTTATGTCTTCTGCTTCCGAAACCCCTTCCTCCCAGTCAGCTCCCTCTTCTCCCTCTGACCACTCATTGTTGTCCCACCACCAACCCCCTGGCTTTGAGTCTTCTTCCCCTGGGGGTTCCCATTTGGTGCCCCCTGCCACTGTTCTGCATCCAGCCAATCCACAACAGAATGCAGCAGGACGTGCTTAGACTCCACCCACACAGAGTGGAGCAACGCTATCTCCGCCCAGCAAGACTTAGCTCAGAGATAGGATGAAACTGAAGATACTAACAGATGCATTTTGGAGAGTTAAAGAGTCAGCGATTGGGTAGATGTTCCTGCATTGATATCTAGAACCTGGAATTTCCTAGGTTCTTGAAAAGCTAAGCTCTGTGCTCCGTGCACCCTGCATTACCCCTCCCCCAGCCTGCATCAATTAGAATGAAGTTCTGTCAGCATCAGAGCTGAATCTCATAAGATCGCAGAGATCACTTCTCAGCTGCACATGAAAATTCATTGCACAGTTCATCCAGAAATGGCAACAACCAGTTTGATGAAGAGTCACAACAGCTTCCTGAACGAAGTAGAATGAAATGGCTTAGCAATCAGACGTGTCTGTTCACATCAAGCACTTCTCTCCCAGCACCAATGTCATTTGTATTTGCCAAAGCATTCTATAGTTCTTTGGCAACCAAACAGCTGCATGCATGTAGAAAATCTACCACTAAGGTGATAGCAGTCAAGCGCTCAGCACTGGTGAATATGCATCCCATGCAGCAGTCAACCCATCTAGTTTTGTGAGCAAGATTTCAATTTATTTATTAACAAGCGTTCAAACTCGCTTTATTCAAATTTTGACGGAAAACATCTTGCAACGTTTAAAAAGAAAAAGAGGTTCACTCATTCTGCGTCTCTCCCTCCATCCCTGCTCTGCTGCCCTGGAATTCACTGTTGGTTTAGAAAAGGACCTGTGTGTATTTGCCCTGGTTTGCGACAGGATTTTTCATTCCCTAGTTTTTGGCAGGGATCAGGTCTGAGGCGAACTTGCTTTCCCTCCATGTCCAGCTGGAGATAAAGCATTTTTTCCTCCCCTCCAATAATGTTCGCGTTTCTGGTGCGAAATGAGAGAATAAAGCGGGAAGAGATAAAATAGATGGCAGAATATCAGCAGGACACGGAATGCGCTGGCCTGAGACCCTTCAGAGGTTTTGGGCGTATGGGAGCTGTAGTCCAAAATGTCCGGAGGGGCCCATCTTGACAAGAGCCATGCTAGAGCATCCACTTGGGGGGGGCAAGCATGGCAGTGAGTAGAAGGGACATCCAGTGGCAACAAGAGCAGTTAAGATAAAACTTCATGTTTAAAAAACGAAGCAAACTCTAAAGCAGTGTTTCCCAAACTTTGGGTCTCCAGTTGCCCTTGGACCACAACTCCCATCATCCCTAGTTGCAAGACCAGCGGTCAGGGATGATGGGAGTTGTAGTCTGAAAACAGCTGGACGCCCAAGCCTGGGAAACACAGCTCCAAAGCCACATCTGCGTTATGCATTTAAAGCAGTATCGTAACCACTCTAAGCACTCGTCGTTTCCCCTCAAAGAATCAAAGAACTGTAGCTTGTTAAGGCTGCTGAGAATTGGTAGGAGCGCCCCCTACTTCTTAAGAGAGAAGTTTAGCAATCCATCCCTCTTCGCAGGGAACTCTGGGAATTGTCACTCTGTGCACCCCTAAACTACAGCTCCCGGGTCTCTTGGGGGGCTAGTTAAAAGCGGCATGATACTGCTTTAAACACACAGTGCTGGTGAGGCTTAAGTAAAAAAATTGTGAGAGCAACTTTGGCAAAGCTCCACTGACTTTCCATGAGAAAGATTTTAAAAGCAAGGAGGGGGGAACTCGTGGCTGCCCACAACCATCAGCTCCAGCCAGCATCACCAATGGTCAGCTGCGCAACATCTGGAGGGGTCACAGGTCAAGCGTCTCCCTCGCTGGAGTCAAAACAGGGCTTTAAAAGCAATTCACTTGGAGCTGAACAGGACCCCTTTCTGATTCTGCCCCCTACCGCATATGACAACCCAACACTCCCACCCCGGATCCCACCCCATCATGCCCCACATTAAGTCACCTCAGGGAGGAGCTGGGGCAGGAAGCAGGCGGGAAAAAGGAGGGAGCCAAAGAGCTGAGGCCGCGCTGCCACCCTGACAGGGGCTTTTAGGTCCAAGCCAGCCGCTCCCAGCCTGAAGGAGGCCCCTGAGCACGTGGCAGTTTCTGGGATGCTCCCGGTTGCCTTTTCGCTGCTCCCTCGGAGGCAGGATGCTAGCCCAAGCCGCCCTGAATGCCCCGGATCCGCCGAGCCAACTGAATGTCCTTGGGGTGGAGGGTGACCCTATTGGCGTGGATGGTACAGAGGTAGGCATCCTCCAACAGGAAGACGAGAAACGCTTCGGCGGCCTGGAGGGGAGAGCAAAGGGGGATGGGGAGAGAAGAGAGAGCAAGTGGGAAGGGTGCAGGCAGTTGGCGGAGCCCCCATTCCTCCCCCCAAAACTGTTTAACATCTACGTGAAACCGCCAAGTTTAATAATAATAATAATAATAATATTTTATTTATACCCCACCCTCCCCAGCCAAGGCCGGGCTCAGGGCGGCTAACAAGCAATAATAAAACAAGTTGAATGATTACAACTTAAAACAAAATTAAAATACAACATTAAAATATTGAAACATTAAAATGCCTCATCGCAGGAGGAGAAGGAAAAGAAAAAAGAAAGAGAGGGAGGGAGGGAATCCAATTGGCTCCAAGCCAAAGGCCAGGCGGAACAACTCTGTCTTACAGGCCCTGCGGAAAGAAATCAGATCCTGCAGGGCCCTGGTCTCATGAGGCAGAGCGTTTCACCAGGCTGGAGCCAGAGTTGAAAAGGCCCTGGCTCTGGTTGAAGCCAATCTAACTTCCTTAGGGCCCGGGATCACTAGGGTGTTGCTACTTATGGACCTTGAGGCTCTCCGTGGGGCAGACCGGGAGAGGCGGTCCCGTAGGTACGAGGGTCCTAGGCCGTGAAGGGCTTTAAAGGTCAAAACCAGCACCTTAAATCTGACCCTGTACTCCACCGGGAGCCAGTGCAACTGGTATAGCACTGGGTGAATATGCTCCCATGGCAGAGACCCCGTGAGGAGCCTCGTTGCAGCATTCTGCACCCGCTGGAGTTTCTGGGACAGTTTCAAGGGCAGCCCCGCGTAGAGCGAATTACAGTACTCAAGCCTGGAGGTGACCATCGCATGGATTACTGTGGCCAGGTCGGGGCGGGAAAGGGACCAACTGCTTGATGGTGCTTTTTTTTGGAGCACGTTGTCAGCAATAGGCCGACGGCACATGCCTCTCCTCCACATCTACAGTGGATGGGCTGGACCGCCGTCTTGCCCCAGTAATGGAGTGAATGAGAGCCAACAAACTGAAGCCCAATCCAGATTAAGACTGATGCAAGTGTTAAGCGGGCAGTTCCCTAGACCAGATGGATGAGGGGCTGCCTGCCCTTGATGGCGTTACACAGCTCACGGGACAAGGTTGGGTTTGGGGCCATTTACTTGTGACCCCGGTTTGAGTGATAATTACTCAGGGTTTTTTGCGGGGCAGCACAAAACTAGCCCCAAACTTTGGCATCAGTTTGGGGAGGGATCCTTTGCTATCGCTTTAGGCTCAGATGTCCTCAGTGATATAGTGCTTTCTTTACATATTTTTAGGCACCAGGCGAAAACGTTCCCCTTCAACCAGGCCTTTGGCTGATTAACCAATCCATGTTAGGTGATGGTGGGTTAATCCTTTTCTATTATGTCATGTCTTTTGTGTTTTTATGTTGCTAACCACCCTGTGATCTTCACCTGAAGGGTGGCATATCAATTTAATGATGCTGGCTGAGGTTGATGGCAGTGGGACTCTTTGAGGTCACAGGTTACCCCATCCTGGTTTAGCAAATCCACTCCCATCAGCAGGACCCTTCCGGCTGTTCTCACCCCCAATTCCATGGGGGAAGGAGACGGGGCTCATGCCCTCAGGTTACTGCAGGCAGCCCCACAACTCTGCCCCCCCCCCACAAAACAGCTGCCAAATGTCTGCAGGGGGAGGGGCCCTGCCCTAAATTGTTTCCAGGGTTTAAAAATCCTGGACACATAGTGAGAGATTTTACTTTCTTGGGCTTCCTGATCACTGCAGATGGTGACAGCAGCCACAAAATTAAAAGACGCCTGCTCCTTGGGAGAAAAGCAATGACAAACCTAGACAGCATCTTAAAAAGCAGAGACATCACCTTGCCAACAAAGGTCCATATAGTTATAGCTATGGTTTTCCCAGTAGTGATGTACTGAAGTGAGAGCTGGACCATAAAGAAGGCTGATCGCCGAAGAATTGATGCTTTTGAATTATGGTGCTGGAGGAGACTCTTGAGAGTCCCATGGACTGCAAGAAGATCAAACCTCTCCATTCTGAAGGAAATCAGCCCTGAGTGCTCACTGGAAGGACAGATCGTGAAGCTGAGACTCCAATACTTTGGCCACCTCATGAGAAGAGAAGACTCCCTGGAAAAGACCCTGATGTTGGGAAAGATGGCGGGCACAAGGAGAAGGGGACGACAGAGGACAAGATGGTGGGATGGTGTTCTTGAAGCCAGCAGCATGAGTTTGACCAAACTGCGGGAGGCAGTGGAAGACAGGAGTGCCTGGCGTGCTCTGGTCCATGGGGTCATGATGAGTCGGACACGACTAAACAACTAAACAACAACAAAGTTGCAGGAAAGAAGTGAGAGAAGGCGTGCTTTCTTTGGGCACCATGCCTTTGAGACTAGAATTACCCTGGGTTCTTTGTGGCATCTCACAGTGATTTAAACATCTTCCAATCCGCTTTAAATGTATAGCAGAGATGTATACGACTAAACAGCAACAAGAAGGGCCCGCTCCCTTTGCCCCCAGTCCGTAGGGAGGGTCTGCTGTGGGGCTGCAGTGGCAAGAGGGACTGGAGCCTTCTGGTTTTTTTTTTAATTGATATTTATTAAAGTTTCAGAAAGAATAAAATCACATTAATAAACAAGAAAATTTTAACAAAAACAGAAAAAAATACACCATACAAAATACAAAAAAGTAAAAAAGAAAAGAAAACAGTTAAAAATAGTTCCGTCTTTTCATAACTTCCTTTACATTTACTTGTTTCCCGGACTTCCTCATACCTCCCCCTTTTGTATTCCAATTCAGTTGTAAGCCCAGCAGTTTCTTTCCCTCCCTTTTAATTCCAATCCTAAGTCTTAATATATTATGACATTAGATTTTTACCTATTTAAAACCAATTTTCCCATTTCTTTTAACCTTTTTGATCCTAATCCTTAATGAGACTGGAGCCTTTTCTGTTCTCACGCAAATGGAATAGTTTCATCGCAGCCTGCAGAAAGGAGATCCGAGACGCTGACCAAGGGGAAGCCAGCCTGCCCCTCCCTCTCTCCCTCCCTCCCCACCCCAGATCCCCGCCCTTACCTCCTGCAGGGCGAGCAGGGCCATCGCCTGCCATTGCATGTCGACCCCCCGCGTGTAATCCAGGCAGATCTCGCGCACCACGCGGGCGAAGGGCAGCTTCCGGATGAGCAGGTTGGTGGACTTCTGGTACTTGCGGATCTCCAGCAGGGCTCGCTGGCCGGGGCGGAACCTTCTCCGGCGGGGGGCGCGGCGCCTGTTGCGCGGGGGGCGCCCGGCGAGGCGAGGCGGGGGGCGCCGGCTGCCTGCGCGGAGAGGCGCGGGGGCGTCTCCCCCGGCGGGAGGGCGGGGTGGAGGGGGCCCTCCGGGAGGGCGGCGTGGAGGGGGCCCTCCGGGAGGGCGGCGTGGAGGGGCTTCTCCCGGACCGCCTCATGGCACCTCCGGCAGCGGCGGCGGCGGCGGCTCTGCACACCCTCCTGGTCTCCCGCGTTTGAATTCTCGCGCTCCAGCCCCCGCCCCGCCCCGGGAAGGCCGCCCGCCAATCCGCTGCTCGAACGCCGCCGTTCGAATCATCACAGCCAATCGGATGGAGCGGGGGGGGGGAGGCGCCTGGGGTGGGAAGTAGGAAGCGCGGCGCGATCCAAAAGAAAATAGTCAATGGGGGAGAGCGAGGGAAGTGGGCGGGAGGTTTTGCTACGTCCCGGCAAGCGATTGGTTAATGTTGGAGAGAAAGGCAGGAAGTTAGTCCAATAGAAGCTGAGAAAACAACAAACAAGCAAAGCGACAAACCAAGATTTCGACTTAAAAGGCAGATTTTTCAGTGGCATCTCAAGGCATTTTCGGAGCTCTTGTGCAATAAATGTACATTTATTGAATTTAAGCCACTTGATGCTGCTCTTTGATTGATTGATTGATTGATTGATTGACAGATGAAAGATAGAAAGGGCTGTGACTCATATCCCAGAGAAATTTAGGGGAGTCAGGTTACCTGAGAGTTTCAAAAAGCCTTTTCAGGTATTGATACAGAGCTGGCCCAAGACATTTTGGCTCCTGGGATGAATCACACAATGGCACACACGCCTTCCAGAGAAGATCATGGAGTCAGGAACAAGGAGTGGAATAAAGAGCTGCGTCAGGAATGGGGGGGGGGGGCAAGGAGTGAAGATCTACATCAGGAACAAGGGCTGGGGTGTCAAATCAACCTTAAAGTGGGGCCACACTCCAAATCACACTGGGTGGGTGCACATGCCAGGATAACGCCCCGACCTGGCCACAGTGATCCATGCGACGGTCATCTCCAGGCTTGACTACTGTAATTCGCTCTACGCGGGGCTGCCCTTGAAGCTGTCCCAGAAACTCCAGCGGGTGCAGAATGCTGCAGCGAGGCTCCTCACGGGGTCTCTGCCATGGGAGCATATTCACCCAGTGCTATACCAGCTGCACTGGCTCCCGGTGGAGCACAGGGTCAGATTTAAGGTGCTGCTTTTGACCTTTAAAGCCCTTCACGGCCTAGGACCCTCGTACCTACAGGACCGCCTCTCCCGCTATGCCCCACGGAAGACCTTAAGGTCCATAAGTAGCAACACCCTAGAGGTCCCAGGCCCTAAGGAAGTTAGATTGGCTTCAACCAGAGCCAGGGCCTTCTCAACACTGGCTCCAGCCTGGTGAAACGCTCTGCCTCATGAGACCAGGGCCCTGCAGGATCTGATTTCTTTCCACAGGGCCTGGAAGACAGAGTTGTTCCGCCTGGCCTTTGGCTTGGAGCCAATTTGATTCCCTCCCTCCCTCTCTTTCTTTTTTCTTTTCCTTCTCCTCCTGCGATGAGGCTACATTTTATTATTTTAATGTTTCAATATTTTAATGTTGTATTTTAATTTTGTTTTTAAGTTTTAATTAAGTTTTTAATTTTGTTTTAATTCAACTTGTTTTTATTATTCCTTGTAAGCCGCTCTGAGCCCGGCCTTGGCTGGGGAGGGCAGGGTATAAATAAAAATTATTATTATTATTATTATTACTATATTTCTGGGGTCAGCAAATGTTTTCAGCAGGGGGCCGGTCCACTGTCCCTCAGACCTTGTGGGGGGCCGGACTATATTTTGGAGGAAAAAAATGAACGAATTCCTATGCCCCACAAATAACCCAGAGATGTACTTTAAATAAAAGCACACATTCTATTCATGTAAAAACAAGCTGATTCCTGGACCATCCACAGGCCAGATTTACAAGGCGATTAAGTTGGATCCGGCCCTAGGGCCTTAGTTTCCCTACCCATGCACTAGTTCCTCCTGGCTGGGAGACCACCATTGCCTCCTGTTCCCCAAGAGGCTGATGTAGAGGCAGCAGATCCAGCCTCCGAGGCGTGTGCCACAGCAGTCGCTGCTGCCACAGAAGCCACCGATTCATTCCTTGAAGGCCGAATCTGCTGCCCCTGTGGATCCTGCTGCTAATCTTGCCTTATAGGCCGGCCATTTCTTGATAGTTGCTGGGTATGTCTCCCAAATCTGCAAAGCCTTAGTGAGCCTGCTTGAACTCCTTTTTGTCAAACCAAAGCCTGAATACTTAGCAGCAATGGTTGACGATAGATCAATATGATGTGTAGCCTATTATTCGCAGGCTTGACAGGAACATTTGCCTGGTCCATTAGCAAGGCTTGCAAACACGGGGGACCTGCAGCCTGGCGTGTCTGGGTCCTTGATGCCCCCCTTTAAAGCCCTGATTCAGAAAATAACTGTGGATGTTGAAAAAAGGGAACAGGTTGAGAGTTGGGGCTACTTAAGGAATTAACCCTGGTAATAGTTACAAAGATAGTCTGTCAAACCTTTGAAACTGCAAAACACAGCACCTGCCCGGGCCCTGATCCCTTGGGCAGCAGGAGACAGACAGTTTAGTTTTGTAAAGTAAAAAGCCCCAAGCATGTCCTGATTTCAAGGCTGCGCAAAAACCCATTGCTCCTTGGACCTTTCTTTACAAAAGGAGGGAGCAATCAGGTGACACCCTGTGGGGGGAAGTAGGGGAAATCCAGCTGATGCTCAGGAGTTATGAGATGGTTGGAGATTTTCTTATTTTCTCCCAACCCCATTTTTTCAAAGTGTTTTTGTTTAAAGATAAGAGCCATTCCAAGTGGCCTTTAAATAAAATTCTTTTAAAAAACATTTCACTCCCCTCCTTGAAATTCCATCCCCTGGAGCTTCAACCACCCCTTTCTGACCTTTGAACTATAGTATGTGTTTGTGGGAGGGGTTATTGGTATGCTTTTGTTTATTACCGTATTTTTTGCTCTATAAGACTCACTTTTTCCCTCCTAAAAAGTAAGGGGAAATGTGTGTGCGTCTTATGGAGCGAATGCAGCCTGCGCAGCTATCCCAGAAGCCAGAACAGCAAGAGGGATTGCTGCTTTCACTGCGCAGCGATCCCTCTTGCTGTTCTGGCTTCTGAGATTCAGAATATTTTTTTTCTTGTTTTCCTCCTCCAAAAACTAGGTGCGTCTTATGGTCTGATGCGTCTTATAGAGTGAAAAATACGGTATGTATTTTGTGTTCTCATTTTGAAATGAAGTTGCTCCAGCTCTTTGGTGATTCTGATTATTTTCTGCACCTCAACAATATCCAAACCACGCAAGACCCCATGCAGACCTCATAATCCTTCTTTCAGCATCAGTAAGGGTAGGGCAGAGACAGGGCCAGGCGGGTCTTCCACCTGGGCTGGTTGTAAGGAAGGAGGCAGGCAGGTGGGGGTTGGCTGAGGGCAGGTGGATGTCAGTGGGGCAGTGCCCCATTTCCCCTAATGGACCAGCCACTTGACACATTCCCCCTCTACAGGGAAAGCAATCTTTAGGCGTCCTGCGTATTGTCCGAAGAGCTGGTCAAGCGAAGAGTACACCGATGGGGCAGTGAAGACTGCCATTCATGAATTGCTCGGCCAGTGTCCTTGCAGGAAAAAGGGCACCTGGATGCCTGGTTTCAACCATATGAATGACCAGGCAGTGGTGAAGTACCGTATTTTTCGCCCTATAGGACGCACTTTTCCCCCTCCAAAAATGAAGGGTAAATGTGTGTGCGTCCTATGGGGCGAATGCAGGCTTTCGCTGAAGCCTGGAGAGTGAGAGGGGTCGGTGCACACCGACCCCTCTCGCTCTCCAGGCTTCAGGAAGCTCTCTGCAAGCCTGGGAGCCCGGTGCGACTTCCCGCCGGGCTCCCCAGGCTTGCGGACAGCAGCCTGTTCTGGGGGCTGGGGTCAGGGGAAGCTCAGGCTTCCCCCGCCCCCGCCCCGCGCCTGGGGGGGGGGGAAATAAAATTCTTTTTTCTTTATTTCTCTCCCCCCAAACTAGGTGCGCCCTATGGGCCGGTGCACCCTATAGGGCGAAAAATACGGTATATGCACCAGCCTCCCAGGGTGGGCGCATGGGGCATGCCCCCATGGGTGTGGGGTGTGGAGGGAGCCCACTGATCCCAGCCTGGTTGGGTGGGCTAGAACACTGCCTGGGCAATGCTGCTGTTGCCTCTCCTCTCGCCTCCCCCCTGCCAATCACGCTTGACCCAGGAGTGGAGCCCCTGGGTGCGGCTCAGCTGCTCATCGGGGTCAAGGGCTGGGCGAGCAGAGGGTGGAGAGCACCCAGTGCGCCTTGCCTAGCTCTTGCCGCCAATGGGTGGGTGTCAGCATCCTGGGTGGGAGGAGGGCGCTCTTCAACACTTCCGGCACAGGTTGCCATACACCCGGGTTTTCCGGACAATTTGCCAATTTTAGAAAATTCCGCCTGGATGCTATTTTTGACAGATGAATCGAGGCTATGTCTGGGAAATTTCAGGCATAAGGCAGACCTGCAATTACTGAATATAGATCGCTGGTATAATATAGTCTGGCAAAGAGCCACAATGGAAAAATCGTCAAAAGGTGGCAGAAAAAACATACCTGTGTGGTATGAACTTATTACTTATACAAATGAAACAAGACAGGGATGAGAAACATCTACAAGTTATACTGCAATATGGCGGAGATAAGCAGGCAATATTCTTTAGTTATCTCCTACTATTCTGTGTTTTCCAAACTGATTGACTGAATACTCCATTGAACTGCTTTAGTGTCATCACTTCATTATTTTGTACTGTCAAATAAAATGTTTTGCATTAACCCACTAGTGACCCATTTTTTGTTAGTCTTGGCATGTTTTGTGTTTGCACAAAGAAGTGATAATTAAAAAAAACACCACACCTTAAAATCAACAACAACTCCCATTATTCCTGACTGTCGGCCATGCAGGCTGGGACTGATGGGACTGATGGGACATCTAGAAGACACCCTACTTTGGCTAATTCCAGGATAGTGTTGCTGAGCCACTGATGGCAGTGAGTGACACAGCTCTTTCAGTCCTGCCTGGTTGGAATCTCAGCAG